GCCCTGCAGTTTTCCCTGCCTGAACCACAGGGCACGCCCTTACCTTGCCCTGAGTGTCTGTGGGCTGGTTGTAGAGCCTTGTGCTGACCACATCAAAGGGTGTCATGGCCAGGACCACCGCAATGCCACTCACCATGGCAGCTGCCAGAGCCACCTTCCAGCTCTGGGGAGGAAATATCTAAGGGGAGGGAGGAAGAGCTTTGTCAGTCAGTCAGTCAATCATTCAACTCCTAGGAAAGGACAGGCCCTGCTCTGGGAATACAGTAGAGCTGGTAACCCTGGGAGCTTCCACTCTATCAGTTAATACAGTGTGATAACACTGTGAAGGCTCAGGTACACCTGAGAGGGAGTGACAAAAGCTGTGGGAAGGGTATAGCACAAGCATGTCAAACTCGCTGCCCACAATGAATATTTTTGCAGCCCAGCCAATATAATGGTATGTAAGAAACATTTTAATAAAAAATTTATAACTTAATTTTTACAATATCCTGTTATACATAATTATTAATAATGAACAACATTCGCTAATGACATTACTATCATCGTGTCGCATTCATGTTTCTTACACGCCTTACACACAGTGCACCATTTCCACTAATACTAGCAGCGATTATTTTAGCAGCCGATGGCCATGTCATTAGTCTTGGGCTGACTTGTTTGGTGTGCAGAACAGGAAATATTTCGCTTTCAGAGAATGAGAAAAACAGGTTTATTTGCTTATTTGTGCAGTTATTCAGTGGTAAGTTAATGTTCAAGAAAATATTAATTTTTATTAAAATGTTCTATTATTTTATGGTAACGATGACTGATTTATTTCAGCCCTTTGTATTCAGCATGTCTCTGTCGAAATAAACCTACGTTTCTATGAAAATTGAAGCTTTTGTTTTGTTTTTTTTGTGGCCCACATAAACTTACATCTTGTTTATTTGGCCTGTTAGCCTTTGAGTTTGACATGCTTAGTGTAGCAGCTGACCCCCAAGCCATCCTGCCACGCCCTCACCCCTCTAGGGCTCAGTTCAGCTTGTACTCCCCCCTGCCCACATTTCCCAGGGCGGCCCCACCCATTGCCCAGGCAGTACCTCCCACTGGGTTATAAGGTCCTTGGTGGATGAGAAGGTGCACAGCTGGGTAGAGGAACCGGCGATAACTCGGGGAAGGCCGCCCACGGCCCCACGCCACAACCCCACCAGACCATGTTTCTGGCCAATCTCGGTTAGCGCCTGAAACATGCCCTGGGAGGGGGAAGACCATGAGGTGGGGTTTAGTCACCCTGGCATCAGGGGCTGCCATCTCCTAACACTGCTAAGGATGGGTCCTCAACAGGCATCTGATGTCTGGACAACCAGTTGTGTGTGAGCTTAACACCAGAATGTGGCCCTTCCATTGTCTACCACCTCGTTGTTCCCTCCCTTGCCATCCCAGACTAGGGCATATGGAAGTGAGGACATTAGCAGACCAGGAGAACAGGGCAGGAGAAACAGGTGCAGAGGACTAGAGGATCTGGGGAATGGGTGGGAAAGAGGGCCTGGGTGGACGTTAGGGGCAGAGTGAGGCTGAATTGATTGGCTGAGCAGAGCGTTGGCTGGGTTGGAGTTGTTGGGTGCGGACAGAAAGCTGGGGCTGATAGGAGAGAATGGCAGACACTCCAGCGGGGCTGGGAACATCTTACCTGATGCTTATACTGGTGCCCGACAGCAATTTCTGAGGCTGCCTGTGCTTGTAGGTGTGTCTTCACCTGGGGACGAGAGAGTATCACAACCTATGGCCCAGTGACCATTCTTTCACCCCAGAGACCCAAGCGCCTGAACCCCTCACACTTCCTCGAAGCGGTTCTCAACCCGTGGGTCGCGAACAATGAAAATACATCCTGCATATCAGATATTTACATTATGATTCATAACAGTAGCAAAATTACAGTTATGAAGTAGCAACAAAAATAATTTTATGGTTGGGGGTCACCACAACATGAGGAACTATATTAAAGGGTCGCGGCATTAGGAAGGTTGAGAACCACTGGGGGTGTTCAACAATGAATATCCTTTTGACCTGATAATTATTGTTGTTTTCCTTTAACAAATTGGTCATGAGATTCTGTCTTTTGGCTCCAGTCCCCTGGGGTGATGGATCTCCTAGCACCACCGACACTCCACCCCTCTACTTCTTCCTTCCCTTGTGGGCCAGGGGTGGAGGGGAAATAGAGAGGTTGAAGAATGGCAATATTTCCTAAGACTATTCATCTTGGGCAAGACCCGGGAGTCTAGTCTCTCATGCCAGCTCCATTTCCCAAACGGGATCTCCAGCTACCAGCACGACCAGGCTTCCCCATCAGACTCTGGGGTAGGTTGGGAGATCATGAACAAAACTTGCTCTCTGACCCCAAAGCCTAATGGGGGCATGTGCTCAGCTTACTTTGGAGAGGCCACTGTCCTGAATCTCATACCCTGCCTTTCGGTCTTTCCAGGAGTAGCACAAAGCAGGACCTAGTCCTAGCAATAAGCAGCTGTGTGACCTTGAGCTGGTCACCTCCCTTCTCTGGGCCTCAGGCTACAGACCCTTCACCTATTCGAAGGGGCCGACTGTGAGACTGTAATTCTGTGATATCCAGGACTTCCCCTGGTCCTCACACTTACTGAGGTACGTTACTCAAATTCCTCACCCTCCCCTACACAAGTCCACTTCCAACCTCAGTATCAGATTATGAAGGAAGGCCCAGGTCCCCACCCTACACCAAATGTCTGCCTTGAAGGCCCCAGGCAAGACCCTTCTTCTCACCATGTAGATAGGGCTCCCCAAGTAGGCTCCCAGGACCCCAGCCAACGCCCCAGCTGCTGCGCTTCGGAGAGGACTGTGGGTGCCTTCAGCTGTGTGCAGGTAGCCCTTAGCCTCAGCCAGCCCATAGGTGCCCAGCCGGATGCCATTCATCAGGAACTGGTACAGGAGGGCAGGGGCCAGGCCCTTCTGCAGGGCAGCCAGGCCGTCCACCTTGCCGATGGTGATGAAGGCATGGAAGACGTTTCGGTAGTGCCGCTGGTAGGAGCCGGGGGCCTGCAGTTCTCCCTGTAACTGCATCCTCGTCTTCACCACCTCCAGGGGGTTGGTGAACAAACAGGCCCCGCAGGCTGCCAGGCCACTCATCAAGAAGTCCATGGTGGGGCAGTGGTAGCAAGAACTGGCCCAGGAGTAAGAAAGTCAAAACGAGCTTCCGAAACGAGGTCAGAAATCAGGAAAGACCTCAGTTTCAACAGGCTGCAGGAGGTAGGAATGGACCGTTCTGGAGCCAAGTGTCAGGGTCAAATGTCAGGGCAAGGATAGCTGGAATTTGGAAGTCAGGAGCTGGCAAAGAGAGAAGAAAGAGGAGTTTAGGAGAGTTTGGCGAGAAGGTTATGATAGGGCTCAGTTGGTCAAAGGAGTTGAGATCAAGAAGGGGCAGAAGCCAGGAGGATAGGACGATGGCAGGTGGGATGCTGAGAACGGCCGGCTACTGGGGGCCCGGGAGCAGGGAAGGGAAACGCGGGGCTGGGAGCTGGAAGCCGGGGAGGAAGAAAAATAACCCCAGCAGGTTATGGAGGAAAAGGATCCGGGAGAAGATCCGCTGACGTCCCGGGAGAGCCACGAGATCTGGATCGAGGAAGTAAGTCGGGACTCAGGCCGGGGCTGAGCGACCCCCGGGAGCTGCGAGAGTCGCAGCCGCTTCCCCCGGTAACCTGCAGAGGCGGGACCGCCACCTCCAGTCGCGGCG